AGAAGAAGAAGAAGAAGAAGAAGAAGAAGAAGAAGAAGAAGAAGAAGAAGAAGAAGAAGAAGAAGAAGAAGAAGAAGAAGAAGAACCACCACCACCACCACCACCACCACCACCACCACCTCCATGCCACATGAAAAGACAAAAAATAAATAAATTTTTAAAAAGTTAGTCATAAATGCCTACTCAGATCTAAGTAAGTCTTTTCTGTTACTTTATTGCAACTCCCTGTGTGTACCATAACGCATTGTGGAAGTCAGCTGGCTGGGGTTGGTCCTCCCCTCCCACCACGGTCCCACTGATGGAACTCACGTCAGGAGGCAAACGCCTTTACCCTGAGAGCCATCTCACCAGCCCGTAAGACTTTTTTCTCCTTTCTTTTGGAGACAAGGTCTCACTAGGCACAGTAGGCTGTCTGGAAACTTGCCACCCTCCTCATCCCCCTGCCTCAGTCTCCAGAGTTCTGGGATCACACATGAACACCCAGACTTGGCCTGGCTTTCCAGCTTCCTCCTCCTCCTCCTCCTCCTTTCTCTGACACCCTAACTCTCACATATGTGCCACGAGAACGTGGGCGCATCTAGACAGGGAAGCCCTAGCCGGGCCCGTGTCTCTGTACCTGACTCGGGTCTCACTCTCGCTGTCACCAGAGCTGGCCCAACCCCACTCCCACGTACCCTCTGACTCCATTTCCCTCTTCCCCATCCACGGGGTAGAGAGAGGACTGACGCCCCAGGGCCACTGTGGTGCCACTAAGGAAGTGACCTCAACCATGTCGTGACCAACCCTGGGACCACCAGTCTCTCCGCCTGCCTGCCCTCCATAGCTGTCCTACTCACAGGCTGGGACTTCAGGGGGACACCAAAGCCTCAGGGATGGGAAGGGGAACATATTCCAAGCCCTTCTGACTCAGTTTCCCTTCCTGGCCAGTGGCCATCCCGATATCAGCCACACAGGATGGCTGGAGGTGTGAGGGAGTTTCACAGGGAGCCCCCTAAGGCTGGTAAGCCAGGCGGTCCCGGGCCTCAGACGTTCCCAGCTTGTCTGGAATCCCAACTCCATTCACTTCTCTGCGACTTTCTTCACCCAGGGTAGGAAGACTCATTCACTCATTCACTCATTCAGAGCCTACAGTGTGCCAGGTACGGAGGTCACCATGGGAATGAAGATACAACAAAATGCTTTTCCTTGCTGGATGTGGTGGTGCACACCTTTAATCCCAACACTGGAGAGGCAGGCGGATCTCTGAGTTCAAGGCCAGCCTGGTCTACAGAGCGAGTTCTGAGACAGCCAGGGTTACACAGAGAAACCCTGTCTTGAAAGACCCCCCCCCAAAAAAAATAATAAAGTCACAGAAATAGAAGAGAGGGGAGGAAGGAGGAAGAGAAGAAAAAATACAGTTGGGACTGTAGCCTTGTGTGCTTGAGGCCCTGGGACCCGAGTGAAGTAAGCAAGAGGCAAAGGCAGGTGAGTCAGCAGCCACAGTTGGCAAGGAGGCCTGCGTGTGCAAAGGCCCTGTGGCCGAAGTGAGGGCAGGGGTTAGCAGAGGCCGCAGGGCTCTCAGCTCTTAGGGAGGAAAATTGACTGCCGGGTTGGGTGGGGGGGCCAGAGGGGAGGAGACTTGGGTTTTTAAAAAGGGTTCCCCGAGTGGCTGGGAGAAGAGGGGCTGCACTGACCACCATCACTACCCCCACCACCCCCAGGCTAAGCCCTGGACGGTCCCTCATGCCCCACATGGGTGACACGGCCCGGCTGTGCAGGATTTCTCCGGGCAAACTTGGCCTTGGGAGGAGGCGGGTCTTGCTGTGATCACAGTTGCGTTTGGGGCTTGGCCCAGGGCTCGGCGGAGGTCTCGGCGTCCGTGCGAAGGAGCCGACGGAGCAGGCCAGAGCGGAGGAGGCGGGGGCCAGGGGGCCGCCCCGGAGGTCCCAGGCAGCCAGCCGCCCGCTAATTCAGAATTCCTTCGGCACGAACTGGGACGTGCCAGCGTCTCTACCCTGGCCCACCCACTGCTTCCTGCCCGGGCGCCCCCCTCTGCAGGGTGGGAGGCACTGCCCCGACCCGGGACCCCACGGTCTGCACTCCGGGGCGATGCTCACACCCCTCTGTTCCTCCCTGGCCTTTGTCTGGCCAGGAAGGGGACTCTCTGGGGGGTCCTGGCGGGGGTACTGCCCTTTTACCACACCCGCTGGCCTGGATTAACCGGCAGCTGCAGCTGCCCTTCGGGGCCGGGGCGGGCCGGGGGGGGGGGGGGGGACGGGGACGAAGAGCAAGGCCAAGCCAGCCTGGACAGGACAGCCCAAGTTTGTCCTCAGGACAACTGGGTGCAGCCCCCCAGCAGTGCTCGGGACACCTGGCATCCCCTCCCCAGATCCTCCATAAAACAGGGAAGACGTCTCCAGTCTGAGCACAGGGGTGAAGCATGGGCCTGGCACCCTGGAGCACTAGGGCAAGAGGACCCCAGCCTGCTCCTTGGCTTCCACGAACAATGGGCCAAGGCCACTGGGGACTGGGGCGCACACATGCCAAGCTTGGCAGAGGCGCGGCCGGCTGCAGCCCCCTAACCCTGGAGAGGGAGACACCCTCCTTCCTCCCCTCTTCCCCTCGTTTCCCTCACAAAGCTGGGGCCTAAGCAAGCGTCTTTCCCCTTTCCCAATGCGGACGGGGTTGCTGCCGTTATTAAAAAGAACACCATGTGTTTTAAAAGGGAAAAGTGTGAGATTCCCTGAAAGGCCAGCGGGAAGGTGGCCTCCATCCCAGCCGGCCCCCAGGGGTCTCCATGTCCTGTCCCGCTGGTACCTGCACACACTTTTACGACCCACCGGCCGGCCGGTCAGGTGTTAAGGCACACCGTAAGTACAAACAGATTGCAGAGGTGTGAGAAGTTCTTATTTAATTTCTCTCCCCCTTAAAGGAAAAAACACGCGCGCCACCCCCACCCCCACCCCGCCACCTTCGCCTGTTGCTCTGCAGCCCGCCCAGAAACAAAGCTTAGTGCTATTGGTGGCATTCAAAGACTACCCACGACCTGGCAGGGACACCAGCTCCCTAGGAAGGTCCCGGGTTGTCACCCCATCACCTGCCCAGAAGCCTTGGGCAAGCTACAGTGTGGATCCGTTATGGGGGGGGGGCGATGTCCACAGCCAAACATCCCAGGCTACCAGCCCCGGAGCAGCAGCGCAGCGGGGCGCCCCAGCGGGGTGGCCTGTGTCCTCAGATGGGGTACACAGAGTAGAAAGTCGTCCAGCGCGCTCGGCCAAACGCATGCCCCAGAGTTGCCTCCCCTGTGGAATGAATGTGGGACCACGAGTGCGTGCGTGCGTGCGTGTGTGTGTGTGTGTGTGTGTGTGTGTGTGTGTGTCGAGGATGGAATGCGAGCGCCGCGATGGTGTGCGAATACGCATCTGGGCTGCAGCGCGCGTCGGAGGGCAGGGTGACGGGACACAAGCCAGTGGGACTCTTTGTGTGTCTTTGGGTGTGTCCCAGAGAGGGTCTGGATGTGGAGACCGTATCCTGGCGGGGAGGGGGGAATAGGGTAAGCGTTGGGTGATGGGGCCCAAGGCCAGGAGTTCCTCCACGGGCAGTGGGGTTCTCTCGGCAGCTGAGCCCCATTGGGTGCCCCTTACACAATGAAGTCTGGGCCCGCGGTGCCCCGACACGCTGGCTCTCGCTCCTTCTCATCGAGATTTCAGTTGCTGGAGGCTTTCAACCCAGCGCAGCCTGAATGAGGCTGGTTGTGAGCCCCACCGGTGGAGGGGACTTCGAGGATCCCAAAGCGTGGGGTCCGCTGCAGGGGGGAGGGGGCGGCGTCGGCCCCGCGGAGAGGCACGTCCCGGGGGACCCCCCTGGGCCGCACGCCAGGCGGTCAGAGCAGGGGGGCCCCGATACGGCCCCACCCTCCCCGCGGGGTTCATCATTTCATGGGGGAGGGGACCCCACTCCGTGCCAGCACCCAACCCAAAGCACCCAAGCGTGCGCCCCCGGCCCGTGAGGCGTCCCTTAAGCTCTGTGATCCAGGACGCAGACGTGTGCTCCCCGAGGCGTCCCAGCACCCTGAAGAGGGTTCCGGGACACTACGATGTCCCTCAAAACGAGCCTGGCCGGACGGCCTCGCAAAGGCGACCCAGGTAAGAAGGCCTCGGGCACATACCGGGTATTCTTGGGCCACTGGGTGGTGGCACCGTGCGCCCCGCAGGTGAGGGCGCCCCGAGGGCCGCCTTCCTTTGTTCCCGGGCTGTCCAGGTGGCGCTCGCGCCCCCTCTTCCCTCCCCCGCGGCTGCCCCCCGGGGCGCCCGATCCTGGCTTCCCAGGGGAGGTGGGGAACAGGGCGCACGGTACTCACGGGCTCCCGATCCGCCCCGAGGCACCCCGAGGACACAGAGCAACAGAGGCGACCACAGCGAGGACAGCGGCCTCGGCGGCCGCCGCGCAGATTGGGCGGCGGGGCCCGGGCGACCGGCGGGCATGGGGGTGGCGCGCAGCGGGCGGTGACTGCAACGCCGGGATGGGGCAGGGGAGGCTCTGCGGGGTGCAGATTAGGGTTCGGGGCTGTCCGCAGGTCGCTGGGCGCGGACTGCGAAGGCCGGAGCAAGTCTGAGCAGCCGAAATTGACAAGGCGCTAATGCGCCGCTCGCCCCGCCCGGCCCCGCCCCCGGCCCGGCCCCTGGGGGGGGGGAATCGCGGGCCCCGCATCGGCCTTCCCACCGCCCGCGGGCACCGCGCGCCCCACCCGGCCGGCCTCCGCCCCGCCACCATCCTAGAGCACCCCATCCTCCTGCGTGAAGCCCCCCACTCCTTCCCCACCCGCCCATGGGACCTCCCTCTCCGGCCCCGCCCGTTCCAGGCTGGGACCGTGTGCCCCTAACTCCGCATCGGTCCCTAGCTCGCAGCCCTGGTGCCTTTCCAGTGTCGTCCCCCCCCCCCTGTCTACCCCAATCCTTCCTACCCGCCTTCCCCGCCCTGCCCCTCTTATGGGGGGGGCCCTATACCCTCTAGGATTCGTGTGCCTTCTACACACCCAGCAGCCCCTGAACCCATCCATCCTCCCTTTCAGTCCCTCTTCTTCCGCACAGGCTTTGAAAGTTGTCCCTGAATCCCACGCCCTGGGCGCGCGGGTCCCACCGGTCCCCACCCTGTATTCATTCCGTTCTCTCTTCCATCCTCGGTGCTCAGCCTCTGCCCGCGCAGGGAAAACTAAAAGTCAGAAGGCACCAAGTCGCCAGCCTCCCGTCCCACTCCTCGTCTGTCCTGTGTGTGCTAGGTTTGGGGATGTCCGGTAGCGTGCGTAGGGAACCCCTATGTGTGGGCACTTGGGAGAGGTGTGTCCCTCGGGGAACGGGACTGAACCCCGCATTCCTGGTTCCCAGGAGGGCATCGGTGCGAAGGAGTTCTTCCTAGACTTCTTCACATCCCCCCACGGAAAAATCCACTCAGCGGCCCGCGGGTGGGGTGCGCCACGCGGTGAGTAATCGCTGCAGCAGCCGCCGCCCGCCAACTTCAGGTAACGCGGGCAGCCTCGAGCGACGCATAGTTATCTCCGATTGAGCGCCTAATTCTTTCTCTGGGTTATTTTTGTTGGCCACTGTTTGCGGTTTTAGGGAACCCTCCCGGGCCAGCCCAGCCCTGGCACCTCATCTCCTGGATCTCTTCGTCTCCACCCTACCCGGATGCCCACGAAGGGAAAGGAGGTCTCTGGCCTGCAAGGTCTCTGTGGTGAGGTGGCTCTTGAAATAGAGTTCCCGGGTGGTCTCACCCCCAGACTGGGTAACAGCGCCCAGCCACAGCCCCCCGGAAGTGAAGGGCTCCACTCTTCTTCCCACCCAGTGGCGACTGCCTTAGAGGCTTGCCTCTCCCTTGAAGGCCCCCCAGACAGCCTCCAACGACAAAGGAGGGAAATACAAACCAAAGAAGCCACTGCCATTTTGCTGGTGGCAAACCAGGCCTCTTGTACCTCAGTTTCTTCTTTTACACAGTGGATAATTTGGGGACAATTATAAAATTTACATGGGAAGAAATGTCCAAAACCAACCAACCAACCAACCTTAACTCTGGCGAGAATAGAAGAGCGCAGAAGTGGCCCACTGGCCTGCAGGTCCTCGCCCAGAAATGTGGCCAGGTGGCCTAGAGGGTCCCGTGGAGGTGGTGGGTCTTGGCCACATTTCCAGGGTCGTCGCTGCCCCTCCCCCACAGCGCCTGCTCTACTCCATAGGTAGGGAGGTGGGGACCTCGGCCCCTGGGAGGCTTCTGCAGCAAAGATCTTTATTTCATTTTTTCCTGAATGCTCCTCCTCCCCCAGTCCCCGGTGGAAAGGGCTAGCTTCCCCCATGTACCCAGGTGCTGCAGGCAGCGACCTGGGAGTTTCGTGAATGAATGCTTCCCCCTCTTCCCACGCGGACAATCCATCAGCAATCCTGTTGGCCCTGGTTCCAAAACACACCCCCATTCTGAGATGGAGACCCTCCCCAGTCGTGGTCCGGGCCTTTCGTCCTCCTCCAGGGCTCCTTCCTTTGTTTTAACCACAGGCAGAGGGGGCTTTGAAAGAAGCCAGAGCCAGCTCTGCCCTGCCATCCCCCTGTCCAGCCTGCTGGCTGTTTGGGCAAATGCCTGGCTCCTTGCCTTAGGGGCCTTAGCCCTTTGGCTGTGATGCTGGGAGGACCTCTGAAGCCTGCCCCCGTGAAAGGCTTTTCTGAGTCCCCGGGACCTCTTCACTGTCTTCGCTCACAGGCCATCAGAGCGCCTGCCCCACGGGCACCTAACTGTGTAAGTCCTCAGTACCTGAGGGCCCTAGACTCCATGCTGGGCCGGTGAGGGCCTGAAAAGTTCAAAAAATACCCACAAAAAGAAAGAAGTCATGAAGGAATCCTGACCCTCCAAGGAGCCCGGAAACAGACCCAGCAAGTGAGGGGACCCAGGAGTAGGCCAAACACACCCCATTTTGCTGTGTGACCCAAGCTGGCACACATCCCCTTCTGGTCTTTGACCTCTGCCCTTGGGGCCACGGGAATTGACCATAAGGTGCACCACTCATTCCCGTCCTCGTGCTCCCACGGAATTAACTCTTTCCTCCCCGGTTCAGCCCTCTCTTTGCTCAGGAAAGGAGGGTACTCTTGGTGTACCTTCTGACAAATATTGACCTAAGTCATTGAATGTGGCTGGGAATGTGAGAAGGGGTGGCTGGAGGGCTCTTTGTCACTCCTGAACTCTTTGCCCAGGGGTCCCCTGGAGAGGGGTAGAGCAGGTTTGAATCAGGCAGCTCCCACCAGCCTTGGATTACCAGATGAAAACCACTCAAGACTTGAGGTACAGCGGCAGGACCAGCGGAAACCGAAGCCTGTCTGCGCAGGACAGAGCCACTACCTTCCCTGTGACCCGGCCATTCCTCCAGGGTCGCCACCCCTCTGGGTAATGGGTAGTGAAGGTCTGATTCCCTGGTTTGGGGCCTGTGGGTGCCCCAGGCCCTCTCCCCACCCTGGTGCCTCAGCCTAGACAGTGGAGATGCCACACCTCAATTTTATAGTGTGCCGCCACTTAAGTACTAAGATGGATGTGGGAGGTCCCGGCCCGGGCTTGTGTGCTCTGGGGCCACCAAGCCTGGGCTCCTTGTTTCTCTGCACCCTCAAGAGACCCGTGCTGCGTCCCAGGATTTTCAGCTGTTTGGGGGAGAATCGCACCCTCTTCTCACAGCTCCCTCCACGTCAGCAAGGAGCGGCGCCACCCAGCCTTGCCGGGCTGCAGTCGGCTTGGGGGTGGGGGTCAGTAGGGTCGTGCTGAGGGCGGCCAGGGACAAAGGGCGCTTGTCTGCGGCCCGCCCTGACCCGGGTAGCTGCTTCCCGGACGCCGGGAGTACGCTGATTCACGCGGACAGCGCCCCCCGCCCCCGGCCGCGCCGCCCCGGGGGGTAGGAAGTGGGGGGGTAGACGCGGGGCGGCGGCGAGTCAACTTTCCCTCTTAAGCCCCGGAGGAATGTCGGCGGATTTCCTGAAATCCGACCCCGGCCGCCCGCCGGCCGCCCGCCCCTCACCTGGACCAGCTCCCCCGGGAACGCCGGGAGGGGCGCCCGGGCTCACCTGGGGGGCCGGGGTCAAGTCCTCTTCCGCTTCCCCCTGCGGCTTCGAGGAGCGGAAAGGGGGAGGGAGCTGGAACCAACAGCCCTGGGGCGCTCCAGACTGCGACCCAACCCCTCATGCCTCAGTTTCTCCTTTTGCAAAAAGTACGGATGCTCTTTTGCACGTTTATCGACGCCCCCCTCCCCCTCGTGAAGCCCAAGCTGGCTTCAGATGTTTGGCCATCCTCCTGCCTCAGCCTTCCTTGTTGAAATTTTCAGGCCCGGCTTCTCTTGAGCCCCCATCCTCTCCACCTTGGCAGCCTCTCCTCTCCTGTATCCTGTCACCGAGGCCCGTCCCCCGTGCCTTCCCGAGTTCCAATGACCTAATTTGGAAGGGGGGCAGCCCTACCCTATAGGGCTTTTGCAAGGAGAAAAAATAGTCGTGGCAAGAAAATCTTTGTTGAAAGGAGTGTTTGTTTGAAATGAAGGAAGGACCGTAATTGCGGAAGGGTTAAGTGCCCGGGACTCTGCAAATGACAAGTGTGAACTTGAATTCCGGCTCTGCCCGGGCGTCCGGATGCCAGCTTTCCCACCTGTAAATTGGGGAAACAGGCTTTGTGTTTGGTTTATTGAGCCAGGGTCTCACTCTGTGGGCCAGGCTGACTTGTAATTCACTCCGTAGCCCAGACTGGCCTTGACCTCGCGGCGATCCTCCTGCCTCAGCCTCTCCTCGAGCTGGGATGATGGGCATGCGCCAAGGCGTACGACTTAGAGAGCCAGTTGGGGTCCCAGTGCGCAGGGACTGCCAGGGGGGCGCCGATGGGAGGGAGGCCCGGCGGGGGAGGGGCGGGGGAGGGGCCGCGCCGGGATCCAGATGTTCAGGTCCGCCAGGCACAGCCGCGCCTGATTAAGCCACGTGGGGGCCGGCCGGGGCCGCCGAGATGAAAGCGAGCGGCCGGCGGGGACCGGGGCGCGCCAGCCCCTCCTCCCGGCCGGAACCTGCGGCTCCCTGTGACCCGGCGACCCTTCTAGCGGCCTCCTTGTCTGCTGGGGCGGAGCGACGGGGCTCCCGGGACGCTGGCACCTGTGCCAAGCAGGCCAGTGGGGCTCGGCTCCTGTGCCAAGCAGCCCCCGCCTCGGCTCCTGGAGAGAGAGAGCTGGGGAGACCTCCGAACCCCAGACGGAACAGTATCCCTGTTTGCCTCAGGTTTTCCCATCAATTTGGAAAAGCGAGCGGCCCAGAGGCCTTGCTCACTAGGGTGGTGGGGGTCCCCTAGTCCCAGGGAGACACTCAGGCCTTTTTCTGCGCTGGAGTGGACGGAGGCCACCCTAGTGCTGCGCCTTGAAGGTCCCCGAGGACTCCCTGGAGGAGGCAGCTGCCGGGAAGGTATCTCTCCAAGAGTCTTGTGTCCCAGAAGCCGCAGACTGTGGCTGGTGGTCCTGGGGAGGGGGGGGGTCCCGCGCCCTCTGAAGCTCCAGATCCACTCTGGCTCCAGCCCTGTCGTCCTCCTGGCCTCCCTCCTCCTTCCAGCCTCCTTTCCCTCCATTCCAGAGTCTTTGTCCTG